AAGGGACTTGTGACTGGCTTGTGAAGGGACTTGTGAAAGGACCTTTGATGGACTCGAATACAACGCTGTTGCTTGGCATCATCGGGAAATATCTTAACAACTTGATTTTTCACCAAGGACTACTAAAAAACCAAAGCTTTGCGGTTGTGGTTATTGACTTCTTATTCCATCATCTTTTACCAATCCTTTATTCTCTTGGTATTTTCCAGTTTTGGTTTTTGGGTTTTTTTTCCCATTTTTATTTTTATTATTTTTTTAATCACTTTCAACACAGTTAAAAGCACAGTGTTGAGGTTAAATGTTTGCTTGAAAGTGATTTCAGTGCTTTCTGTTTGTCAGTGCTCATCGGAAAATCTGAAATTATCATGTCCCAAACAAACTACGTCCTTGGTGTTATGGGAGGGTAGGGTACTGGGTGATTTGTGGAAAGATGTATGAGAGGTGTTAACGTGAACACAGTACAAAGAACAAAGGACCCACATTTCGGCCTTTAACTATGTCCAAAAGCAATGTAACAAGATTCTTGGTGTTGTAAGCTGCACTTCAGCAGTGAGAGTTGGAGAAGTTTGGTGGATAGAGTCGCAGTCTTAGAAGTGCCAGAGATTTCCAGATGAGCTCATTTGTCTCTCACTCTGTAGGCCCCTGAGCCTGAGGTGGCCAAGGGTCCCATCCCCGCCGAGCACCAGGAGCTGGCCGACACCTACGAGGGGCTTGCTAGGCGATGCAGGGAAGCTGGTGGAAACAACCCGGTGAGTACAGTCTCCTGGGCAAGACCACTGTCCGTCAGGAAAAAAAGCATCTAACGACACCTAGGCAGGATCCTGCTGGTAATTGCTTGCAGGTGGAATGCAGCAAGTGGCAAATTGCTTGCAGGTGGAATGCACCAAGTGGCAAATTGCCTTTGAGAATTCACCATCATAGTGACTGGATTGGTATGGGTTTTTTTTTAAAAACAGCTTGTTTTGTTTGAGCAAGGTTGCTACAGTTGCAAGAAGAGACAGGATCTGTCTGACGTTTGCTATTCAGTGCAGTAAAAAAGGCCTGAGCACTGTCAACAGACCACGCCTTGGAGTTGGTCATATTACAGCTGGACCTTGTTCGGATGAAAATTCAGCGTCCAGAAAGTTAGTGACTTCGCTGCAACCGGCTGGCCCCACTTGACTAAACCCCTCTTCCTCTTCTGATTTTAATTTCCTGTGTGTTTTGCAACCATTACAGCAAATCAAGAGAAAGCTTGATGACGTGAACAAGAAGTTGAACATCCTCTACGACAAGCTGCGTGCGGGATCGGTAAGTGCCAACATGGACTACACCAAGACACACAACTGAAATACAGTATGCCTAACTGTCTCAAATTTCTAGTTTAGTGCAGTTCTGCATGAAACAAACTCTTATTTTCATTCATTCATTTTTATTCTAATTTCCAAAGCTCTACATTTCACACCAAAAAGTTGTCATTTCATGGGATTCTTCCCAAACTATGTTTGATTTTGTTGGACAGGTTGCTCACACGGCATAGTTTGTGAAGTAGTTCAGGCCTGACAATCGACTTGAGTCTAAAAATTGTGATTCAACCTTACAAATGAGTCCCAAGTTCCCAGAGTCACTTTTCAGTCGCAGGTTTTCAGAAGAATCTTGAGCCTTGTGATTAACATGCGCTTAAATGTCCATTTTCATCAGGGTACCAGACTGAGCGATCCATCAAAACAGCTCAGTGTACTCGGCTTAGACTTAAACGAGGTTACTGGAAGAAGTGACCTCAAGACTCACTTTGTTGGATCCGGTCAGGTTATATGTTTAAGAAAGCGAAGATTTGCTGGTCCCAATGGCATCATTATTATTCATTGTTCGCCTTCAGCTGTCACCCATGATTCTGGCCGGCCTGCACGAGATCGCCTCCGGCATCAGCAGTTACGATTACCAGACGGGTCTTTCCGTCCACAAGCGCCTGGTCTCCAGTGTCTACTTCTCCGAGATCAGCTCTTTCATGCCAGGCCTCAAGGTCCTCCTCCAAGTCTCCCAGCAGTTGCGAGTATGATGACAGGTGGAGGCATTGTGCTTCAAGATTTGCCAGTGGATATCTCATGGTTCGGGTTTTGAAATTTTGTTTTTATGCAAGTATGCAATTTTTTTCGTCTCAAGTATGCTTCTCTCGGATAGAATGTAAGAAAGCTCTCACTCTGGTAGCTGTTTTCTATGGGATTTGATTGGATTATGTTAGTCACATGACTGCTAGCTTTAACGTGGTACATTCCTCATGCTTCTGAATGTAATAGACACCTCTTTTCACCCTCAGTAATGTCATTGTTGAGTTAGACTCGACCTAAACGAAGATGAAATATTTATCTACGTCTCTCTCTTTTTAGGTGAAGATCTTTCTTTTTTTTTCTTTCTTCGGTTCTTGTATCAATCAACCTTCACAGTTCAAGGCAGCTTTTAAGATGAGAGAACATTCTGATGAAAAGACCAATTTAAGGTGTATGTAATACTTGCTTTGTTGAAGGGGCTAGGTCATGTCTCCATGCTGAGAGAGATTTCCATGGAAAGGATACCGCCAAAAAGTCTACACTTGGAAGTCAAATGAGAAGGGCATTTTACATTGAAAGCCATGCAGTTAACAAGACACGTTTTTGAAACCGGACGACTGTTCGAAATATCTGAACAAATAATCGTCATCGCTCTCGGTTTGGGGTAAATGAATTGATGAAAGAAACTTTAAAATGTGTTTATGCAAAGAATTAACGGTAATTTTTTTAAAATGTTGCACGTTGTTTGTGCCCTGAAGGTAGATGTCTCGTAGGTTGTAGCGCTATGTGCCATATGGTATCTTTAGATTTCAAGCCAAAAGTTTTATTTTAGTGTTGTGTCAGTTTTCCTTGCCAATGATCTGGTGAGAAATGAGTCGGGGGGGGTTGGCTTATTTCTTGTTGGGGCGGGTCACAAAACAAAACAGTGCTAGCTGTTGGCAATATATGTCACACCAGTTCATGGATAAGCACTCACGCGTATTAAAGTTCATCATTAATCACATAATTGGGCGTTATAAAATTCCCTACTTTACGTATGCTATTCGCGACAACAGAAATTCAGCATATGAGCAAAGTACTGAGTTACGCACAAGGACGAGAATCTCAGTCACAGCCAACCTCGATGAAATGTGTTATTTATTTACTTGTAGCACACTTAATAGGGAAAGATCAAAGCAAAAAAAAAAATTTAAACAAGGTTTCTTAATGAAGTGTAAATAACTGTACAGAGGCAAACAAAATGAAACATATATCTCTGCAATCTGTAGGGAAAAAAACCCCAGCTTTCCAGAGTTCGTGGAGTTCATGCAATAGGACTTTGGTGATTGTGGATATGATACAAGTTTGTCTTTTTTTTAACTAGATCATGTTTTATTTTTGGTCGTTCATATTAAGGGCCATTCAAAATCTTCACTGTTTTTAAATTTCATTTTTTTTTCTCCAAATGGTGAGTCAACAAAAAAAAATGAAAATGGAAATTCATTTTTGATTTAAAGAAAACCAACAAAACAAAAAGAGATCAATTGAATTGCCTGAATTTTGGTATCAAACTGAACTTCATGATATGCACAACCATGGTCCAACATACATGTACAAACTAGACACACGTGCAGAGGCACATTCATGTATTTACTTTACATGTGCAAGCATACATATACATGTACGTGCCTGCAATTTTATACGGTACACTGGACTGGCAGTTTTATTACTGGATAACAAAATCACTTTTTGGTTAATTGAAAATGGGGGTGGATCAAAAAAAGTTAGGGAAAAAATATCAAAATTTAAAACATTGAAAAATTCTGATTGGCCCCTTACACAAAGGCACATTAATAGTGACACCAGAAAGGGCGAAATGATGGGGGGTGTAAATTTTGATGAGATATTGATAAGATTATATTGGCAACTTTGTTTATAACCAGTTGCACAAATATGAGTCATTTTTAAATGAATGTCCTTTAAAATCTGACACTGGTATGTACGGATTTGTATCAGTGTTTTCTGCACAGTTCCATGAGTAAGAATTCAAATACGTTAACAGGTAGTAAAGATTTTGAATGCAGGAGATTGTAAGTGGAATGAAATAAAATTCTAAGAGTAACTTTGTACATATTTAGCTGTGTGCCACACATGACCTGCTTTTGTGTTATTTCCACCCAGTATTCCTTATTTTAAAAGGAACATTTTTGCCTGATGTTTGACATGGTCGCAGGCGCGATTTGGGGGGGGGGGAGGTTGGTCTTAGCCCCCAAACTTTGGGTAGTGAAAGTTAAAAGGTGAAGTCACAAAGGGTCCTGCAACCGCCCCCCCCCCGCTCTAAAACCATGCCTGCGTGGTCGTAACTTGGATTGTTAAAATGAATTGGAGGGCCCAGATATGAAGTCCACAGGTCTTTCTAAACGTACGCCCAGGGGCGAATCCTGAACAAAATTATTTGAGAGCTAAAGCTGGGGGGGGTCAAAGATTTTGTTCGTGCAGAGAAATGAATCCACAACTGAGCCTCATCCGTGTGACTGCGTATATCACTTTGCAGAAGGATTCATTGCGTTTAGGACAATTTAGGTCACGACGCAAAAGTACTGAAATTGTAATGTGCGGAAAGAGACTGCGGGATCGAAGGGACATTTCTCAGACACTTGTGAGCAGAATGGAGCGCATTCACTTGCGTCTGAAATTTATATAAGAGTTGGACGTCCCAAAAGCAATGGCTTACGGAGGACCTCGTGAAACAGGAAATTGATGCCACGTGTACTTCATCGTTGAAGTCCTTAACCAAATGTTCATGACGTTCCTTGGGTGATTCAGGATGTGATTAAGAGATATGTTTATTGAATTCAATGGGCTCTCTTCCAATATTTACATGGAGGTAGCGCCCACTTGAACCCACTCACCAGAGGTATGAATATCAACTTCTTGCGGTAATCTCAAGGTCCGCGTTGTACCCTTCCACTGAACTAACCTAATCCTTCATTCCAGAGAAGGTTGTATTTTACTAGTCGACTAAACTATCAGTTTTCCAGTAAAGAAAGTCTACGGAAAGCTACGGAAATCGATTTCTATTCTGCAAGTCGTTAACAACAAAACTCGTTTAGTTTGTCTTGTCTTTTATCTCCCTCTTTTTGTATAACACACAAACGTTTATCAATGGAGTAGCATTTTGCAGCTAGAGTGAATCATTCTTGATACTGTTTCTGAGGCAGTCGAACTGTCAGATCCCTAATGAACAAAGCGCGCCCTCTTAGATTACTTCACGGTGTAACGTACACACCGTGCACACAGTATTGTTGCAAGACCGATCGATATCAACAAACGTGAACCCCACACGAAATACACGTTCCGGTTTAGCTGATGATTGATGGATGATAATCTGATTTCACCTGTCCCAGCAAAACTAGCGGCGTCCAGCTCCACTTTGGCCGCGGGAGGTGTGCGTATTGTCCTCAGATCCTCCGATTCAGATTAAGTCTTTTCCACATACATCGAGCAGTTTTCAGGAAGATTTCCCGTCTGCCTATCGCTGAATTTACCTCCAAAGGAACTTGACCTAACTCGAGCAAACTGGAAAATCTTCGTGTCAAACTTGTGGTCCGAACGCCAGTCCGGCGCGGTACATGGTCCAGCGTGCGTGGGTTTCATGAGGTACGTGGTGTTCTTCGGCCGGGAAGTTGACTGTGATTTATCTACCGTGTCAAAGCACCATTCTTCGGGTAGGTGTACCCCCAGGCGACGCCTTCGCAATCCAGCGCCATCACTTTACGCTTAGGAACAGAGTGAGGTAAGACAACAAGGTCGATCGTTTTTCACGGGGGTCGTTACTCCTTTCAGCGTCAAGCTTTTGCGCAATGGCTAACGTTATTTAACATATTTGATATGTGTCAGAAAAGTTTGTTTGCTCATGAATAATAACCTTAACCCTAACACTCTTCAGTCCTCCAACAGGTGAAGGATTGAGGAGGGTTAGGGTTAATAATGCCTAATGCATGTTGAACATGATCTCGCAAACAGTGCTTGAGTCTTGAGTCGATTAATCCTTATCCAGCTAATTGTAGCTATACTAGGATACTAATTTGTTCAAATGCTGATATGCTTCAGCCGTCTTTAACTTTTAAAAAATGTTCCCTTGATTATTTCAGTCCGACAACAGTTGTAAAAAGGGCAAATTATTTTTATTCAATTTCTATATAGTTTCCATGGCTATTACTTTCAAAAAAATTTTTTTGATGTTTTATAATTAACCTAATCAAAAATGGATTAAAATGGTGTATTTCCCATGAATATACACGCTCTCCAAATTTTGTGTTTTCATTGTAGCAGCTGGAATGGAAGTTGCACATTTGTGCAGAAAATGACTACATTACTTCCTTTATTTGTTTTAGAATATTAATACAAGCAATCCAACAAAAATGAGTAAATGGATTTTCTAAACATTCATGTTGTACCATGTGACAGTTTTGAAATACATGTATGTATGTTTTCCATCTCGCTGGTGGCTTATGTCACTTTATAACTGCACCATACTTTGAAAATCCCCATACTTTGATTATCATCAGATACAGTTAGATGTGCATCTCTTGTGATTCATGCTTTTCCACATACACCTGTGCTGAGTGATTGATGTGCCAAAGTCATTAATTGGCATTGTGTAAACAATGTTTAAGAATGACACATTCTTACAACTTGTTAGTAAGGTGTGTGTAAAAGTCACCTGGTGCAATGTAGTTGTCCAAGGAACTGTGCGTCATCTGGAAACCACCTATATTGTATTTTTTTCATCTCCCACGTCTTTTGTGTGTCTGCCTTTTCATTGTCTGGTTTCACAAAGAGACGAGACGTTGGTTGGTTGGATCCTGGGGAGGATGTATTATGACATAATGCTTGGATACCTTTTGCCAAGATACCGCTGAATATTTAAGATGTGAATTTCTTTGGACTCATTCTATTTTGGTAAGCAGTATACAACGGCTCACGAGAATGAAACAGTTCACTGTTGGTTCTGTCTGTCCCACTCTGTGTCTTAGCACCAGTTGACCTGCAGTTTTGGAGAGAAGTGTATTCATGGGAAAGTTAACCACCAGATGTCATTGACCAAGACAAGTTTAGGCATTTTCATGTATTTCACCCTCCTTGTCATTAGTAATGCACTAAAAAGATGTTGAGTTGAGCCTTAGAGAATTTGGTTTCTGTTATTAAATGGATTGTCAGTGTGGATTGGTTCTGTTGTGGATATAGAGAGTAAATTTTTTTCAGAACAAAGTTGTGCGAATGAAAATCTTTTTTGACATATTGTGCACATGTTCATGATTTGGCTGACAGTGATTGAATGGGGTTTGGCAGAGCCTTGAAGTAAATTTATAGGGCATTGGCTGTTGATTACTTTACATTGAATGCCCTGCTGCAGTAAAATATAGATGAATTCCCCTCCAAGTTGACACCCTGGAGCCAAACCACAATAATGACTGATCTGTAAGTATGTACTGGAAAGCCTCCTCCAGCACTGTAGTGAAGTGTTATGCCCATTGAAGGCAACCCCTAAGAAACTTGGTGAAAATGCAGCCATTACCATGTGAATGACACTCGCGTCCGGTGTGGTTCAGTGCAATGAGCACTTGGCTTTCTGGACTAAATTGGGGATCTGGAGGTGTAATACTCTGACTTCCTATCTATAAAGGTTGTACCGGCTATTAGACCCAGGGGCCAATTTCATAGAGCTGCTTAAGCACAAAAGTTGCTTAAGTGTGAAAAAACCTTGCTTAAAAAGCAAAGGTGACCAGCTCAAACTCTGATTGTCATGCTAACCAAAAGATGGCTAAATACAATCCTGAAACAATTTACATGACATTGAGTTTGGGTTGGTTACCTGATTTATCAAAAAAGGTTTTCTCGTGCTTAAGCAAATTTTGTGCTTAAGCAGCTCTATGCAATTGGCCCCAGCTGGTTATGAAAGGAAACATGCCAAATGCCCCTAGCTTTCCTCTTTGTGCTGTAAGCAATTTTCAATGAAACATATGGGTGATTCCAGAAATTAGGTGTCCATTTTTTTTCATGTCCTTGTCACATCTGCCAAATGATTTTGTAAGTTCAGAACTCATTTTCTAATTTCCAAGAGTGATGAATTAATGCAAATTACCTGCCAAACAAATAGTAATAGTTTGAAATCAATTCCGGTGATATTTCCATGTCAAATAACAAAGGTCAGATGTAACAGAGACACACAAATGTCACACTTTTGAACCTCTAATCTCTGGAATTATTCATATACGGATACAAAAATATTGCAAAGGGGACCAACATCAAACAGAAAGACTGCATTCAGTGAATTTGCTCAGCACAGCTCAGCTGAGAAATAATCATACCTCAGTCACACATGTTATGCATGCGGTGACCGTGTGTCAAAATTTATTGAGCAACTATAACGTGAATTTGATGATGAAGATGTCAAATGTTTGAAAGGGGGTCAACTTACTCTTCTTGTTTTAACTGATGATGTGTAAAAGAAGTGCGTTCTCTCTGCATGACAATTAATGCCAGATGCAAAAGTGGGTTAGTGTACTCAGAAGCTAAAACAGGAGTTTTCAAAGAACAAGGCATCTAAGCCTGCTCTCAGGACAAAAGTTAATACACTACAGATGTAAACTTTGGATTTTCAATTCACATCCCAATCATTTAGAAGGGGTCTGCATGAATTTGAAAAGTACCATTGTGTCTGAGTCAATGTTGCAAGCTGTGTGTGATGTCGGGGTCAGGTTTCTGTTCAAGGGGTACCGGTACATGTACATGTTTTGAGATTGGACTGATATGGCTGATACCAAACGTGGACAGTGGACATTGATATTTACGTGTTGAAATGTAAATCTGTTTACAAATTGTCCCAAACACTAACCAAACATTGAAACTCGGATCTCGGTTACATGTACCCTCTACTTTTGCCTTGCACAGAAGCACTGACGTGTGTCAGACTACTCAACAAAATGTTTGAGTCACCTCAGTGCTATGTACATGTATTTGATAACACCAAGGGAGATTTTATAAACCCTAACTGAGCCAAATCCACCTGAATCCCATGTGATTAAACACTCAACCTCAAGTGATAGTACTACATAGAATGTTTAATTTCAGACTTGATCAGCTCTGTGCTAGCAGAGAATTCAGTACAAGAGAAGTTTTGTCACTGTTGATACTTTGTCATGTTGCATCATCATCATGAAGTGATGGCAGCTTGAGCTGCCTTAAGTATTTGATGCACATTCCTCCTGTCCTGAACTGGTACTTAGAGACTGACTTAAGCCTCACCTTGGAGGAAATTACAAAGTTGACTAGCAAGGCATTGGAATATGCCCAGCCAGATTGTAATTCAGGGGAGGTCTTTTGGGATGCAACTATGCAGAAGCAATATTTGTGACCTCCGTCAGATTCCTGTGTCGGGATTTAAGGCAGCCGGCCATGCACTTTCACTTTTACTCTTGTACTTTGTGGCATGGGGGTTTTATTCTTCATAGCACAATAGTGTTGTAGGTTTAACCGTGTGGTTTTGGGACCTGGGCGTGAGACCGTGATGCAGATTTCACCTTTCTGTTGTGAATTTGTGTTGCATTTCAGCCCAAAACAGGCTGGCATGATTTGCTTAATTTGGCATGCACATAAGTGTGAAAACTCACATGTGATTTTTTTTCTGAATGTCCAACTGTGTATTTTTCTTGTTGCATTTTTGTTTTTATGTTACCCATTTTCCAACAAATTTACAGATACAAATATTTTTCCTCAAATTTAAGAAAGAGGGTAATCTATTCTCTGCTTGTAAGCAGGGGGTCCCTTGTTGCAACATCAGTCATGCTGTATCACGAACCAATCACAGCCGTATATTTTATTTCAGTTCAGTTTATTACCGTGCCATTGTAATTATATATAACAGGTTTTGC